TTAAGTTGAAGTCACTGCTCACTTACCATCCTGAAAATCATAGGGGCCTTAAGAATTTTGTTAAATCTACTGTACCTGTGCTCTATAAATGGAACAAAAAAGCCTGGATGACGTCACATATGTTGATAGCATGGTTTACTGAATATTTTAAGTCCACTGTTGAGATCTACTGCTCAGAAAAAAAGATTCCTTTCAAACCATTACTGCCTGAGTGAAAGTGTGCTTAATCACTCAAGAACTCTGATGTAGATGTCCAATGACATTAATGTTGTTTTCATGCCTGCTATCACAACATCCATTCCGAAGCCCATGGATCAAGGAGTAATTTTGACTTTCAAGTCTTATTATTTAAGAAATATATTTTGTAAGGCTATAGATACCATAAATAGTGATTCCTCTGATGTATCTAGAAAAAGTAAATTGAAAACCTCTGAAAAGGATTCACCATTCTGGATGTCAGTAAGAACATTTGAAATTCATGGGAGGAAATCAAAATATCAACTTTAACAGGCATTTGGAAGAAGTTGATTCCAACCCTCATGGATGACTTTGAGGGATTCAAAACTTCAGTCAAGGAATTAGTTGCAGAAGTGGTAGAAATAACAAGAGAACTAGAATTAGAAATGTAGTCTGAAGATGTGGCTGAATTGCTGGAATCTCATGATAAAACTTGAATGAATGGGAAATTGCTTCATTATGGATGAGCAAAGAAACTAGTTTTCTGAGATGAAATCTACTCCTGGTGAAGATGTTGTGAACATCACTGAAATGACAGCAAAGGATTCAGAATATTATATGAACTTAGTTGATGGCAGGGTTTGAGAGGATTGACTGCAATTTTGAAAGAAGTTCTACTTGTGTAAAATACTATCAAACAGTACTGTATGCTACAGAGAAACCCTTCCTGAAAAGAAGAGTCAATCAATGTGGCAAACTTCACTGTTGTCTTACTTTAAGAAATTGTCAAAGCCACCCCAGCCTTCATCAACCACCATGCTGATCAGTCATCAGCCATCAACACTGAGGCCAGACCTTCCACCAGGATAAAGATTGCAACTTGCTGAAGGCTCAGATTATCATTAGCATTTATTTAGCAATAAAGTATATTTTAATTAAGGTATGATCATTTTTTGAGACATAATGGTATTGCTCACCCAATAGACTATGGTATAGTGGAAACATAACCTTTATGTGTAGTGGGAAACCAGTAAATTTTGTGACTCACTTTATTGCCATATTCGCTTTTTTTGCAGTGATCTGGAACAAAACTCATAATATATCCACGGTATGCCAGTATTGTAAAGACTTTTTTGATGACATTGCTGTGTTACCATTTGGAAGATCTGCCTGACTAAGTGAATCAATATTTTTCAGTTGACCAACACATGATATTAACAAATCAGATACAGGTACAAAAATCCATTCAAAATGCAAAGTAGACCAATGGATTTTTGTGTATCAGAATATGGACAGTTAATTCATATGGTTTCAGATTTTCCATTGCAACACACATTTAAGAAGCTGCCATTGTTAGGTTCTGTTGTTGCATCAAAGGTCAGTATCCACAGTTAGATGAGAAGGCTATTAAAATACTCCTCCCTTTTCCAAATCATATCTTATAAGGCCTAATTTTCCACCTATACTTCAAGCAAAACAAATGTAACAGATTGAATGAACAAGCAGTGTGAGAATCCAACTGTCTTCTGTTAAGGCAGATGTTAGAAATTTGCAGAAAGGTAAATAAGTGTTTCATTATTTTATTTTATTTTGGAAAATATAATTATCTTTATAAAATATTTATGTTCACATGTAGTAGGTTTTAAAAATTAATGCTTATTTATTTATTTATTTTTAGCATATTGTGGGGGTATATATGTTTAGGTTACGTATATTGCCTTTGCCCTGGCTGAGTCAGAGCTTCAAACATGTCCGTCCCCCAGATGGTGTGCACTGCACCCATTAGGTGTGAATCTACCCATCCCCACTCCCACCTGTTGGACACTCAATAAATATTACTACTATATGTGCACATAAGTGTTGATCAATTAATACCAATTTGCTGGTGAGTACATGTGGTGCTTGTTTTTCCATTCTTGTGATACTTCACTCAGTAGAATGGGCTCCAGCTCTATCCAGGGTAATACAAGAAGTGCTAGATCACCATTGTTTGTTGTGACTGTGTAGAACTCCATGGTATACATATAGCACATTTTATTAATCCACACATGTATTGATGGACACTTGGATTGTTTACACATTTGTGCAATTGTGAATTGTGCTTCTATAAACATTCACATGCAGATATCTTTTTTATAGAATGTCTTTTATTTCTTTGGGTAGATGCCCAGTAGTGGGATTCCTGGATCAAATGGTAATTAGTTCTACTTGTAGCTCTTTGAGGTATCTCCATATTACTTTCCATAGAGGTTGTGCTAGTTTGCAGTCCCACCAGCAGTATATGAGTGTTTCTGTCTCTCAGCATGCATGCCAACATTTATTGTTTTGGGACTTTTTGATAAAAAAACATACTTACTGGAGTTAAGTGATACCTCATTATGGTTTTTCTTTGTATTTCCCTGATGGTTAGAGATGTTCAGAATTTTTTTATATGTTTGTTGGCCGTTAGTCTGTCATCTTTTGAAAAGTTTCTGTTCATGTCCTTTGCCCCAAATTTAATAGGGTTGTTTAAAAATGTTTGCATATTTAATTTTTCTGTCCTAATTTCTAATATGGTAAATATCAAGAGATCCAACCCAAGTATACAAAAACTCTTGGGGGTCTTTCATAATTTTTAAGATTGTAGATGATTCCTGAGACCGAAAATATTTAGAACTGCTTTTCTGGAAAATACTGATCAAGAAAGTCCTCATACTGGTGGTGAAGTGATCACTAGTAAAATGACTTGTCTCCTTTGTTGTTGTCACCTGATTCTATGATTTTGAGTAAGAAAAAGGAAACTGGTTACCTGTATTTATTTGGTATTGTCAGTAAAATTGAGTGGAGACTTTGAGCCTGGTGCTTATGGTTAATACCATTTGCTTAGTTTTGTCTTTGTGTGTGTGTGTGTGTGTGTGCATGTGTGTATGTGTGTGTGTTTGTGTGTGTATTGTAACAATTCATTTAATCTACTACTTTATAAAGTGGTTAAACACTGCCTATTATATCAGCTGTGCAAACACATACAAGCCTATCTTTTTGCCAACTCCTGAAAACTTGAAAAAAAAAACCAACACTTGAGTAAATATGCATCTGGAGTTGTAGCTTCTATAGCTTAATTAATAGGTATTATATGACATTTAGGACCCATGATAATCCAGTTTGTGTGTGTGTTCTATCTAACCCAGCTTGTATGATATACTTCTATGAATAAAAAGCCTGATTTTGTACTGTTAAGTTATAAAATGTCAATTTTGTTTTCTAATACTTCCATTATAAAGGACACTGAGGATAGATTATTTGTATATTTAAATTTGACACCCTTTGTTCAAATGCATACCATTTTCATTAGTGAAAATTCATGGACTTTTATGAACTTCCTTTCCAAGTTAAAAATCCAGTAAAAATAACTCCATGGAATAAAACCATTGAAATCTTACATAGTAATACTCACACTTTCTCAGGATTCTGTATTGTTTGGGGAAATCTGTTTAGAATTCAAACTAGAACTGAGACAAAAAAGTGACATAGGGTAATAGTTTTAATCTGCTGGCCCTTTCAGTACAGCAATATTTGTGGTGATCTGTAAGATGATGATTTAATTCAACCTCTATTCTTTTTGCCAAAGATAGTTTTATATAGTGAAAAAAAACCATTTATTAATATGTGCACTCTCTTGATTAGGATACTCCAAGTGAGGTATAAACTGTTGCTAATTCACTATGAGAAATGTTCAAAAACTGAAAGCAAGCATTTAGAAACCTTAATAATAATTTGACAGAGTAATTTTATATCTGTGAAATCTATTAGTATTAAAAAGGGTCATATTTTGTATGACTTTTTAATTTCATTTTCTAAAAGATTCATTTTGATTATATTTTATAAAAGTATGATTTGCAGTGGATTGGAGGAAAGGGAAAAAGAAAGATTGATTCTTCTACACAAAGTGTAAGAAGCACTGCACTGGATAAATGTGAAAACTCTAAGCCTGAAATGGTCCTTTACTTTAGGTCTGATCTAAAGCTTTACTTTCAGGATAGAAGAAAACAGACATCCCATGCAGTATAAGAATATAGGTAGGTGAGTCACTGATCCTTTAATAGGTGAATCTGTTAATTGCTACAAATACTATGTCATATATTTTAGTGTTTTGTTACGCTATTTGTCTCTTATATCTGAATTCCCTAACCCCTGGACTGCCAGGAACTGGGTGGCACAGCAGGAAGCAAGTGGCTAAGGAGGGAAGTGAAGCGCTGCCTGTACCCACAGCTGCTCCCCATAGCTCCTATCACTGTCTGAGCCCTACCCTCCTCCCTCAATCAGATCAGCAGGGGCATGAGACCCTCATTGGAGCTGGAACCACACTGCAAACTGCACATGGGGGCGATCCAGTTTGGCATGCACTCCCCAGGAGAATCCAATAACTGATGGTCTGAGGTGGAGCTGAGATGGGTACACCCCCTTCTACCCCCCACCCCCCCAATCCATGGAAAGACTATTTTACAGGAAACCCATCTCCTCTATCAGGAAGGTTTGGGACCACTGTTTTACATCACAAACTTCTTAAAGTCTAGGACCATGTCACCTATTTTTAAAATTTTCTTTTCTATAATCGTATGTATGCATAGTATAATTTACTAAATGAAGGAAAGTGAGAAAATATTAAGAATATAAATTATTGTGTGATTTATAGGGTGAGGTATATCTTTATAAAAGATCAAGGGATGGTATAATTATAGGAAAGGTATACATAAAATTAGAGAAAATGCAACGATACAGGTGTGTGCATGCATAGAGCAATAATAACTAAACTATGCATTTTAATTTTTTTATTCCCCTATTAGGTTTTTCTCGTTAGAAAGAAGACCGGTCCTGATGCTGGGCAGCTCTATGCAATGAAGGTGTTAAAAAAAGCTTCTTTAAAAGGTAGAAAATTAGAAAGTTTATTAAAATAGAATTTGGCAATGCTTATTTTAAGAAATATGTTGCTTATATAAGGTGAGTAGATGTATTTTCTTTATAACATTCATATTTGTTACAGTTTTCTAGCCCGTAAGAGATATTTCTAGATTTGATATTAGCATATGCCTTAATTTACTGAGTGTACCATGCTAAAAATTTGATGCTAGAAAAAGTAACATATGTTATTTACTTTAAAGTAAATGTATTAATTTGATTAATCTCTGCTCATTTCTTTCAAGACTCTTGGTTTTTTTTTCTGTTCTGTCTGTGTCAATATTGTATATTGAGAAAGTACAACCACCTGCATATACTTATATATACAGTTTTCTAGGCTGTGATAAAAATACCACTGTACTCAGTTTTAATTAAGAAATCCATTTGAACAATTAAATACACATATATAATAAATGAATATTAGCCAAATACCTATTTAAGCCACTTAAAACCATCTCTAAATCTAAACTGAATTTATTGGCTTTCTGAGAATATGATCATTATTATCTAGGAAATGTAGACTAAAAATTTAGACACTTAGGAAATTATATTTTATACTTTTATGTTTTTGTTTGACAAATTATTGAATATATCTTTACTGAAATTTTACATAAGAGTAATATATTCTACCCTTATGTAATTTTTAGTTCGAGACAGAGTTCGAACAAAGATGGAAAGGGATATACTGGTAGAAGTAAATCATCCATTTATTGTCAAATTGCACTATGGTATGTAATATTTCTTTTATTTATGTAATTAGAGAATTAAGATTTTCTTTAAGACAGTACTATAACATAAAATACATAATTCAGACTTATTTAATATATTCAACTATGCAAAATTAATTTATCTGAAATAAGTATCAATATTCAACTTTTGGTCATATTTCCTTCATTTGTCTAAGTTGGTTAACTTGACTAAGGTAACAAGAGAGTATCTTCTACTTACTTGTGTTATAGTATTTCTGTACTCTATCAGCTACCCTTAGTGATCTTAGGCTATAAACTATTGTGGTAATTTATGTAAAACATTCAACTGTATGTTCATAATGACTATATTGATCTTACTCCACGGGTCTGTTCAAGAAGACCATGTCTATTAGTCATCATATTAGTCTATTTGAGTTTTTTTTTTTTATATACTTAGAGAGAGAGGAGTGCCAGTAAGAAGCAGTAGATACAATGGAAAGAACATGAGCTTTGGAGTCACATTTCTGAATTTGAATAGTGGCTCCATTGCTAATTGAATATATGGATGAGATTATGTAGTATGGCTTCTCTGGGAAATAAATAATATCTGTCTTTAAATCACTGATACAGTCTACTACATCACTTTCAATGTTCTAGATTTAAAAGAGTAGCAGCTATTGCTTTTATTCTTAGTGTAATTTTAACAAATAATGCATTAAAATATGTACTCAATGGAGTTCTCACCCATTATTCTTTCACTCCCTGTTATCCTAATGGATAAAAGTAGTAGTATGTAATGACCTTTTTGAATCTCCATTATATCAATCAGTAAACACCTATTGTATATAAAATACTATATTAAATTCACTGGGATGTAGAAATGGAAAAATTTCTGACCTTGTGAAATTTATAACCTATAGGGAATACAGACGTGCAAATAAATTAATTTTAGAAATCAAAATGGAATAAGTACCATGAGGGAGATATAATATGAGATCTCAAAAGTAGTAGCAAGTAATTCTGATGGGGAAGAGGGTATGGATGCTACAGGGAAATGAAAAAAGGGAGAAATTCTGGAAAGCTTATTAGAGGAGGTAGCTTTTTTGTTGAGCTTTATAGGATTAGTAGATTTTAGGATTTTAGGACTTTATAGGATTAGTAGATTTTCAATAGATGATTGAGAGCAAAGTTTAGGGAATTGCAATAGAACATGCCTCATAAATTAGGAAAATAGTGGTAGAAGTTTCTCTGTAAAGCCACATGCAAGGTTGATTATATTCTGGGAAGGGGTTTATAGCTATTTCAATGCTGGATTAAACACTGGATTTAATTTTGAGATACTGTTATCTAATAGTCGACCATGTGAGTAAATACTTAATTGCTTTATGGGGTTTAGAGATAAAATTCTAAACAAATATACTAAATAACAAATATATTAAGCTTTTTAAGCCTTTAAGATTGTTCTATTACTACATTCTAATTTCTACTCAGCCTTTCAGACAGAAGGGAAGCTGTATTTAATATTGGATTTTCTCAGGGGAGGAGACGTCTTCACAAGATTATCCAAAGAGGTGATTATCTGTAAATTTTTATTATATTTTATTGAAACAAAACTAAGAAAATCATTTTTGTTCTTTTGTTAATTACATTTTCTTATAGAAATTTTAAATGTTAATTATTTTTTTTATTGGGTCGTATTTAGTAATGTAGGAGTTAATGGTATTTTCTGTCTGCTTGGTATTTGTGCAACTCATTATTCTCTTAGGCACAAGAACAGTATCAATAACTGGATGAAGTAGATAGGGGCAAGCCTATGGCTTTAGCTACTCAAGCTACCTAAATACTACTGTAGTGTTTAATTTATTCATTTAAAAAATAGATTTATAGAGGTATAATTGACATACAATAAACTTCACATACTAAAGTATACAATTTGATAAATTTTGACGTCTGTATATGCCTGTGAAACAGTCATTACAATAAAAATAATTAGCATAGCCATCATTCCCAAAAGTTTTCTTGTATCCCTTTGTAATGTCTTCCTCTTGCCCTAACCCCCTGAATCTACTCTCTGTTACTATTTAGTTTGCATTTTCTAGGAGTTTATATGAATGGAATCATACAGTATATATTCTCTTTTTTTTTTTGTCTGGCTTATTTAAATCAGCATAATTATTTTGAGATTCACTCATGTTGTTGTATGTATTAATAGTTCATCTAGTTTTACTGCTGGGTAGTATTACTGATCGTATGGATACATCATGATTGTTTATCCATTTACCTGTTGATGGATGTTTGCATTCTTGCAGTTTTTGTATATTACCAATAAAGCTGCTATAAAGGTTCATGTACAAGTGATTGTATGGACATATGTTTTCATTTCTCATGGGTAAATACCTAGGAGTATAATGACTGGGTCATGGTAGGTGTTTGTTTTAACATTTAAAGATATTACCAAACTGTTTTCCAAAGCGGTTATATAATTTTTACATTCCCACCAGCAGCATATGATACTTTCAGTTGCTCTACACCCTTGCCAACACTTGGTGTAGTCTTTTAAAATGTTGGACATGTGATAAGTATGCAGTGGTATCTCATTGTAGTTTTCGATTAGATCATGCTAATGACAAATGATGCTGAGCATCTTTTCATGTACTTATTTGCCCTTTATCTATCTTCTTGGTAAAATGTCTGTTTAAATCTTTTGACCATATTTTATTGGATTGTTTATTTTCTTATAGATTTTTAAGAGTTTTTCATATACTTTGGGTGTGAGTCTTTGATCTTATGTTATTTTGTTTTGTTTTGTGTTTTTATTTTTGTATTTTTGTTTTGTTTTGCTTTTTCGATCATGTGTTATTTGCAAATATTTTCTTCTGGACTACAGTTTGTCTTTTGATTCTCCTAACAGTGTTGAGAAGGAGAAGTTGTTAATTTTGATGAAGTCTGATTTATACTTTTTTTTTCCTTCTATTAATTGTGTTTTTAGTGTTCTCTTTAAAGAATATTTGTATAATCTCAGGTAAAGATTTTTTCCTATGTTTTCTAGAGAGTTTGTAGTTTAGGTTTTACATCTAGGTTTATGATCCATTTTGAGTTCATTTTAGTATATGTTATAGGTATGTGTTGAAGTTCTTTTATTTGCATATAGATATCCAGTTGTTCTAGCATTATCATTGGAAGAAGACTATCCTTTCTTCACTGAATTACCTTGCATTTTGTTGAAAGTCGATTGATCATTTATATGAACGGTCTATTTTTGGATGTTCTATTCTGTTAATTGATCCATTTGTCTTTATAACAATATCACACTGTTCTGATTACTGTACCTTTATGTTAATAATATGTCTTAAAATTAGGCAGTGTAAATTCTCTTGAACTTTGCTTGTGTTTTTGAAGTTATTTTGGCTCTTCTAGGTCCATTGAATTTTCTTATTAATTTTAAAATCAGCTTTTTACTTTCTACAAAAAGACTGTAGGATTTTTGATTGAAATTGCATTGAATCAATTTGCAGATAATTGACATTTTAACAATATTGAATCTTTCAATACATGAACATGATATCTTTCTCTATTTACGTATCTTCTTTCATTTTTCTCAACAACGTCTTGTTTTAAGAGTGTAGATCTTGAACATCTTTTGTCAGATTTATCTCTAAATTGTTCCTATTTTTGATGCTATTGTAAATAGAATTGATTTCTTAATCTCAGTTTTAAATTGCTTAGAAATACAATTAATTGTTCATATATTGAGCTTATATCCTACAATTCAGGTAAATTTACTTATTCTAGCAGCTTTTTTGTAGATTTCAAAGAATTTTCTGTTTGTTACCTGTGAATAAGGAGCTTTCCTTCTTCTTTCCTATTATAGATATTATTTATTTTTTAATTTGTCTTTGTTACATTGGCTTAAACCTCCACTTCAGTGTTGACTATAATTAGTGGGAGCAGGCATTCTTGCCTTATTTCTGATCTTAGGGAAAAGAATAATTTCCATATAAATTATAAAGTTAAGTATAGGTATTTTCAGATATTCTTTATTGGGTTGAGAAAGTTGCCTTCTGTTACTATTTTTAGAGAGTTTTTTTAAATCACAAATAAATGTTTGATTTTGTGAAATGCTTTTTCTACATTTATTGAGATCATCATATATTTTTTTTTATTCTTTAGTCTTTCAATATGGTGAGTTGCATTGTTTGATTGTCAAATTTGAACCGACCTTGCATTTGTGGATGAACCCTACTTAATATGGATTTGTTATTCTTTTTGTATATTGTTGGATAATATTTACTGAAAGTTTGTTAAGAATTCTCACATCTTTTTCATGAGGGATATTTGTAGTTTTCTTGTATTTTTCTCTGTTTTTGCTATAAGAGTAATTCTGGATTCATAGAATGTGTTGAGCAGAATATTTTCCTTTTCAACTTTCTAGAAATGTTTATATAGTTTCAATGCTAAGTTGTTCTTAAATGATTGATAGAATTCAACAGTGAAGCTATCCAAGTCTGAAGTTTTCTTTACAATAAAGTGTTTAACTACAAATTCAATTTATACAATAGGCTTAGGGCTATTCAGGTTATTTTTCTTTTTGAGTGAGATATGCTAGCTTCTGTCTTTTAAAGAATTTGTCCATTTAATCAAAGTTATCAAATTTATTGGCATAAAGTGCATCACATTCACTTATTGTCTTTTTTATAGCTGGGGAATTGTTAATGATGTCACTGTTCTCATTCCTAATGTTGGTAATCTATATCTTCTCTGTTTTTGTCCTGCTTAGCCTCACTAGTTTATCAATTTTATTGTTCTTCTCAGAAACCACCTTTTGGTTTCATTGATTTTTCTTTATTCTATTTCTGTATTCTATTACACTGTTTTCTGTTTTAATCTTTATTGCTGCTTGCTTTGTGTTTTACTGGCTTTTTTTTTTTTTCTGTTGTTTAAGATGGAAGCTAACATTATTGATTTGAGGCCTCTCTTTTCTAATGTAGGTATTTAATGTTATAAATTCCCCTCTAAATACTGCTTTAGTGCTGTCCCACAAATTTTAATATGTGGTATTTTTATTTTCTCTCCATTTAACATACTTTATAATTTCCTTTTTTATTTCATTGATTCATTTGATATTTAGAAGTATATTATTTAATTTATGAATATTAGGATTTTGAGATATCTTCCTATTAACTTCTAATTTTATATCATTATGATCATAAAGCATACTTTCTATGAATTGAATTCTCTTAAATTTATTTACAATTGCTTTATGCTTCAGAATATGATATATTTTGGTAAATGTCCCATGTGCACTTGAGAAGAATATGTACTCTGCAGTTGTTGGGTGGTGGAAGTGTCTATAAAGGCCAATTAGCTCAAGTTGGTTGATAGTGCTATTAACTCTACTATATTCTTCCTAATTTTCTGCCTACTTGCTCTATAAAAGTTTAAGACAGATTGAAACCTTTGAATATAATTATGAATTTGTATATTTATTCTTGAATTTCTGTTAATTTTTGCTTCATGTATTTCAAAGTTCTGTTATTAGGTATATAAACCTTTAGAATTATTATTCCTTCTTGATGTATTGGCCCATTTGTCATGATGAGATGACTTACTTTACCCCTAATAATGTTCTTTGCTTTGAAATCCACTTTGATATTAATATAGTCACTCCAGCTGGTTTTTTTTGTTAATAAATTTGTGTTAGCTTGGTATATCTTTTGTCATATTTTAACTTTAACCTATGTGTCTTTATATTTAATATGTGTTACTTAAGGAATCATATGATCTCCTTGCTTTAGATTCAATCTGAAAGTTTATGTCTTTTAATAGGGATGTTCGACTTTTATATTTAATATGATTATTGATATGGTTGTATTTAAATCAGCTATCTTGCTATTTTTTTGTGTCATCTGTTCTGTGTTCTCTTTTCTCTCTTTTTCTGCCTTATTAATTTTTTTTTACAATTTCATTTTTATCTCTGCTGTTAGTTTGCCAGTATTATCTATAACACTTTGTCGCATTATTTTTGTAGTTGCTTTAGGGTTTTTAGTAAAAATCTTTAACTCAGGGGTTAGGAAGTTATGGTCTCTAGGCTCAATTTGGCCAGTTTCTTGTCTTTGAAACTGGTTCATTGGAACGCAGCCATACTCATTTGTTTAAGCATTGTCTATGATTTCTTTCACACTTCAATGGCAGAACATTTGCATGGTCATTTTTATTGGATGGCAGACATGTGAACTTAATTTTCTTGGATGCTAGATACTTTTGTTTTCCTATAAATAGTATTTAGCTTTGATTTGGAATGCAGTTAATTTCTTTGGAAACACTTTCATCATTTTGGGTCTTGCTTTTAAGCTTTGTCATATGGTACCAGGGCAGTATTTAGTTAAGGGCTCATTGTTCCCCAATATTTAAGCATGGCTCTTGGTATTCTAACATGCACCCATTGAATTATGAGGATTTTCATTCTCACTGTTGGAAATAGGAGCTATCCTGGTCCTTTATGAGCTCAGTGGATCCGTTTAATCCTTTAGGGATTTTCTTTTCCTGAGCTCAGCTAATTTCCTCAGATCCA